ACATACACACACTCTCACTCACACACACACACAAATAAACACACACACACTCACTCTCACACACACACACACACTCACTCACACACACATGCACACACACACGTACACGCACGCACACACACACACACACTAAATAAATATTTAAATATTTTGTTTCCCAAAAAAATCTGTATCCAAATATCATGTAACCCGATTATCACACACATCAATTCAAACATAATCTAAAACACTTTTACACAAATGAAAAAATTACAAAATGAAAGTAATAAAGCATTATTATTGTTAACAACTTGAAACCATTAAAAAAATTCATTACTTGAAACCAGTGATTATTTATATTTAATTATTTATAAGCTATTATAGTTTTTATTAATATTTTGAATTCGTTTTTATCCTTATAATTTCAGTATGTGATTTGTGTGTGAGAGAGAGAGAGAGAGAGAGAGAGAGAGAATGTGTGTGTGTGTGTGTGTGTGTGTAAGAGAGTGTGTGTGTGAGAGAGCGTGTGAGTGACAGAGTGTGTGTGTGTGTGTGTGAGTGACAGAGTGTGTGTGTGTGGACACCTGAAGAAGGCAATTACAGCAGCACGACACGAGCAGCACGAGAGTAACAGGATCATTAGCTCTGTGTTCATTACTGCAGTAATGCAGCTCTGCTCAGATCCAGTTACACTAACACACACCTGAGACACCAAACAGCATCATTTTACTGTCCGAAGAGTTTCAATTTCATCAATAAATAAAAATTTGCAAAACAAATTATCGATAAATAAAACAGTACTAATTATGACTAATACCAATATGGTCACCAATATATTTCCACAAATAATTATTGGAAAATAATAATAAAATAAAATAGAAATAAAGAAAAACTGAAAACAAAATAACACTAATCTTCATTAAAAAAAAAAATGTTTTTTCCTTTTTTTTTTTAAAGCAAACATGGACAACAAAATAAAAATGTAGAATCAGACTGATGTTGATAATTAAAACAGTGCTAATTATGGCTGAAACCAATATGGAGAGTTTGGGGTCAGTGTGTTTGTTATTTTGGGATGGAGAGCTCCGTCTGTAACCGAAGAACATGATCTGTGAGCCGAGGTGTGACACACAGGTGTCAGGTGAACTTCAGTCTTCACACCTGTCTCACCTGCACCTGATCTGCAGCCAGCTGCCCAGATTCTGAGCACATTATACTGCAGCATCACATACACTCTTCAGAAGCAATCCCATCAGGCATCAGTGGAAATATCCATTCAATGCGGCTAATATTGACAAACGTTGATTGTAACAAATCAATTCAATACTGTAATTGACCAATAAAAATAGTTCAAATTCTATTCAAACTGTATTGATGAATGAATGAATGATGAAAATATATGATATATTTATTTTTAAGCATATTTTACATTTTATAAAGTGTGTTACTTTGTAAAGAACAATGGAAATTATGGAAATGCTTGTTTCTGTATAACTGTATAAAAAAATAATTATAAACTAAATTTTAAGCAATTTAACAGTATATATTTTGAAAATATTTCCATGTATTTCCATATATATACATTTATATTAATATAATTGATATTATATATAAATATTTTTTATTCATAATAAATATACACACTACACACATATATTAAAACTTTTATTTTGGATGCGATTAATCGTTTGACTGCACTAATATATATATATATATATCTTTATTTCAAAGATTGTAAAATGCATTGCTAATATTAAGTTGAAAATGTTTATTTTGTTCAAAAAAAGTATGAAATTTACTTTTATGAAAATGCTTGTTTCTGTATATTGACCATTAAAAAAGTGAAACAAAATTACGTTACAAACAATTATAAACTACATTTTTTAAAATGTCTTTCAAAAAATGTAGTTTGTAAAGAAAAATAATCGTAATTTTTTTAATATAATGCATATTTTACAAACTTTTAAGTATGATTAAAATGATGTATTATGTAAAATTATGTATTTTTCATATTAAAAGTTTGTGAAATACATTGTCAATATTAAGTTAAAAACACTCTTATTTTGTTTGTAAAAATCATGGAAATACTTTTATATATTACCTTATAATTAATAAAAGTAAACTTGAAAAATAAAAATAAAAACTTAAACGCAAGTAACAATTCACTGCTAAAACTAAACTGAACGAGTGGAAATATCTTAATAAAATAAAATAACATCTTAAAAGGACATATTATTGTAAGTATAAAAAAATATAAAAAAAAAAAATGATAAAAAACATAAATATACATAAAAAATAAAATTGATATTTTTTCTTAAATTGATATTTTTTCTCCCCTCGCAGAAGGGAACAGCACTAGTGTATCGGTCAGTCTGCGTTTGCCAAAAGCATTGGTTTCAATGGGTCTATGATGTAGTTCACAGTCTTACTGTTTATAGGCCGGGGCGACCCAGTACGGGTTCTCAGCGGCTTCTTTGGCGTGACGCAGGATGGCCTCTCGCGGGTTGCTGTCGTCGGTTTTGTCCAGGGCGATGTTTTTGACGATGAAGGAGGACAGTGTCCCGCCGTGGGCCGCCACACGACCGCCTCGACCTGCAGATCAGAGCAGAATCACACACAAATCACCTCCAGCATTCAGAGGCAGTGTTGGGGAAAGTTACTTTTAAAAGTAATGCGTTACAATATTGCGTTACTCCCTAAAAAAGTAACTAATTAAGTTACTTAGTTACTTTTTATGGAAGGTAATGTGTTACTTTACATTTGAGTTACTTTTTAAATCTGGGCAGGGCTTACTTGCTTGTTTTTAATATGTGACCCTGCAGCACAAAAGCAGTCTTAAGTCGCTGGGGTATATTTGTAGCAATAGCCAACAATACATTGTATGGGTCAAAATTATCAATTTTTCTTTTATGCCAAAAATCATTAGGATATTAAGTAAAGATCATGTTCCATGAAAATATTTTGTACATTTCCTACCGTAAATATATCAAAACTTAATGTTTGATTAGTAATAAGCATTGCTAAGAACTTCATTTGGACAACTTTAAAGATGATTTTCTCAATATTTTGAGATATAGTCCTATCCTAACAAACCATACAGCAATGGAAAACTTATTTATTCAGCTTTCAGATGATGTATAATTTCAGAAAATTGACCCTTATGACTGGTTTTGTGGTCCAAGGTCACATAATAAAATTCAGAGGCAGCGCTGTGGAAAGTTACTTTTAAAAGTAATGCGTTACAATATTGCGTTACTCCCTAAAAAAGTAACTAATTAAGTTACTTAGTTACTTTTTATGGAAAGTAATGCGTTACGTTACTTTTTAGTTACTTTTTAAATCTGGGCAGGGCTTGCTTGCTTGTTTTTAATATAATAAAATTCTTCTTTTACGAATGTAAAAGCCCTTTCACACCAAAAGTGAAATGAATGTGCCTCAGGCTGTAGGAAATGTAAATTCACGTCTGTACAGTAGAGGGCGCCGCTCAAACTAATCACATGAAGAATATGACGCAGGAGAAGAAAGTTCAACACTATTCAGCAATAACACAAATAAAACACAAATGTGTAATTTTTGCTTAGTATGATTGTATTATTAAATGAGCCATTCCATTTCAGTTTATTTACTGTGAGGTTTGTGATTTTTGGTACTGAAACTTGGGATGTGTCAATACAATTTAAAAATTGATTTGTACTTTTCTATAAATAAACATGAATAATTTATGTATTAATTATTAATTTATTAGTTAATAATAATGTATTAATTTATTTATATAGTTGATACATTTTATATTCATAATTATAACATCATAAATTTATTATATTATAAATATACCCTCACCGGCCACTTTATTAGCTACACCTGTTCAATTGCTTGGTAACACAAATTGCTAATCAGCCAATCACATGGCAGCAACTCAATGCATTTAAGCATCTAGATGTGGTGAAGATGACTTGCTGAAGTTCAGACCGAGCATCAGAATGGGGAAGAAAGGAGATTTAAGTGACTTTGAACGTGGAATGGTTGTTGATGCCAGACGGGCTGGTCTGAGTATTTCAAAAACTGCTGATCTACTGGGATTTTCACGCACAACCATCTCTAGGGTTTACAGAGCATGGTCCGAAAAAGAGAAAATATCCAGTGAGCGGCAGTTGTGTGGACGAAAATGTCTTGTTGATGTCAGAGGTCAGAGGAGAATGGGCAGACTGGTTAGAGATGATAGAAAGGCAACAGTAACTCAAATAACCACTCGTTACAACCAAGGTATGCAGAATACCATCTCTGAACGCACAACACGTCGAACCCTGAAGCAGATGGGCTACAGCAGCAGAAGACCACACCGGGTGCCGCTCCTGTCAGCTAAGAACAGGAAACGGAGGCTACAATTCACACAGGCTCACCAAAATTGGACAATAGAAGATTGGAAAAACGTTGCCTGGTCTGATGAGTCTCGATTTCTGCTGCGACATTCAGATGGTAGGGTCAGAATTTGGCGTAAAGAACATGAAAGCATGGATCCATCCTGCCTTGTCTCAACAGTTCAGGCTGGTGGTGGTGGTGTAATGGTGTGGGGGATATTTTCTTGGCACACTTTGGGCCCCTTACTACCAATTGAGCATTGTTTAAACTCCATAGTCTACTTAAGTATTATTGCTGACCATGTCTATCGCTTTATGACCACAGTGTGCGATCTTGTGATGGCTACCTCCAGCAGAATAATGTGCCATGCCACAAAGCTCAAATCATCTCAAACTGGTTTTTTGATCATGTCAATGAGTCACCAGATCTCAATCCAATAGGGCATGTTTGGGATGTGGTAGAACGGGAGATTCTCATCATGGATCTGACAAATCTGCAGCAACTGTGTGATGCTATCATGTCAATATGGGTTAACCAGAGCTGTAATTGGATGTCTTAGTAACCAAACTGGTACAACACACACATACTGTACATAAATATGTATGTATGTATATATATATATTTTTTTTTTTATGTATATACAGTATATATATATATATATA